CTATTGCACATTTCATCACCTCTTGTATATTCTTCCTTTGTAGAAGTGGATGAAAACTACTACCTTTTTCATCAAACATTATTTTCACTAGTCATGAAAACCCAGTTATTGGTATGCACTATAGAACTGGAGTTATTAATATCTTCATATTACTTATAAAAGATTATTTTTCCTTCTTTTCTTATATTACAGTATACATGCTTTGTACTCGGACTCAGAAGCTATTTAAGCTTTAAAAGGGAACAGTGTGTTCTAAAGAGATGACTAGGAATATACAAACAGCCTAGTTCAGTGGTGGTGAACCTATGGCACGGGTGCCAGAGGTGGCACTCAGAGCCCTCTCGGTGGGCACGCGCGCCGTCGCCCCAGTCCTAGGCCTTCAGCTGGGTTTTATAAAATCTTTTCACTTTGGGCCTCCGCCGCCATGTGCAAAAAAAAAAAAGGTTCAATCAGTAAATTTCAACTTCTTGCGGAAAAAAAAAGATCTTGCAAAGCTGGAATTGATTGATTGAACTTTTTAGTCCCACCCAGTCTGCCATTACCACCTCAGCCACACCCACCCAATGGGCCACGTCCACCCAATGGGCCACACCCACCCAATGGGCCACACCCACCCGGCACTCGACGATGCATAAGTGGGTTTTGGGTTGCAGTTTGGGCACTCAGTCTCTAAAAGGTTCACCATCACTGGCCTAGTTCATGGCTGATTAATTAACATTAGCCAGATTTTCTGGAAATAGAACTGAAAAAGTCTCATCTAATTGGTGAATCTCAGAATGGAGATTCTTTTGCATTAAAGTCTCTCTTGCATTAAAGTAGATGCACTTCTAGAAATCCAAAATAAATTTGAAAATATAAATCAATCTATTTCTATGTTAACTCTATAACAAAAAAAAACTTCTAGGAAACAACAACAGAGAAGGAGCAGACAAAACAAATAAGTGGACATAAAATTGAAAATAGAGACTCAAAGATGGAACTTAACAAAGCAAGAAAACATGATTTAATCCTGGTGGGGAAAAATTCACAAGAAATGAAAAAAAACCAACTCATCCCTTAAGACTACAAAATAAATCTGAGGATAAAAAAACAGATTGGATAAAATGAAATGTAGAGATGTTGAAAACATCAGAGAGAAAGGAAGTGATAAGAGAAGCAGACAAGAAGAAAAAGGAAAAGATTTTCAAGAAACATGGAAAGGCAAAAGCCTCATATAAAGACACTTTATTCGATTTACTTCTTATACCTACGCAACAGTCATAAATATATGGAAACACTTTTTGATTCAGCAAAAAACATTGATCAAGAAAGATACTAGTCAAAGGAAAAAGATTAAAGTGAAAATTAAGAAAGTAGATGATGGGATCTACCAGAAAGAATATTTAAAAAAGAAACATTTGTTTGAATATGGTTAAAGAAATAGAAAAGATTTTGAATACATATGTCATTCTAAGAGGGATGAATTCTTTAAATAATACTGTATGCTTTCCCCCCTTTTTATTTTATTTCTTGATATAAGTAATATAATACTGTTGAAATGGCTTAGATGAAGGAAATGTTTTAGATAATTAAATGTATTTGAATTTAAGGAAATGTTTTGAATAAGAGTTAAAGGATTAGATGACTAGACACATTAAATGGAATATTTAAAGATTAAATATATTTTAATTATGGTTAAAAAGAATAAGAAATTTTGAGAATGAATATTTATTAGCTTAGGAGGAATATATATTTTAAGTAGCATTTTACTTTTTATGTTTCTTTACTCTTACTCTCTTTTCCTTTTGTTACTATTCTTACCTATTCTTTAAGAAATGTAAAAGTGTTGAGATGGTTTATATGGGAAAAATGGATTTAAATTTTTAAATGTAATTAACTGTTGAAAAAATCTTAACCAGCAAGAATACTTTGAACTTTATGGAAAAAACAAATTTAAATAAGGACTGTAACAGGATATAAGGTGAGGCAACCAGAATGATTAGATAGAAAAGAAATATTATATTGATGTGATCATTATTTCTAGGAATATTGGGAAAAATCATATATGTAACTGTTATTTATCAAAATAATAAGAACTGTATTAATTCAAGGTTTGCAAAGAAACATTTTGGGGAAAAGGGGAAATCAACTAAATGTACTATGTGGATTATGGACTATAGAAACCAATTGTTAATGATTTTTCTTTACAAATGTAAACCCAGCAAACACACTGTTTACCAACTATTAAGTAATTTATGTTTAAAAAAATCAATAAAATATATGGGGAAAAAAATAAAGTAGATGCGCTGCTGTTATTTCACTGGAATAGAATTAGGTCTTACGCTGTAAATACCAGGTACAACTAATAGACTAACCAAACCTAGTAAATGTATTACAGTTTATAGGAGGACTTTAATCCACAGTTAGAGCTAGTAACATACCCAATCTGTGAACCTCATCCTTAAGTAAGAATGCAATCCCACCAAAATTCTAAATACATTTTTCAGCTACACCTCCACCAGTAGCATCTCTTTTGAATCTAAGTTGTGCTTCAATTCACACAGTGAATATATGGACAGAAAGTTGTTAATGAAAGCCAAGTTAGGCTCAAGCATTTGCACATCTGCCTTTCATGTGACGATCTGGAGAACCAGATTTCTCATATTGGGCAATCGCTTTCTCGTTTGTTTACGATTGAAAGTTAGCTTCAGCAAACAGATACCTTCAGCCCAAGGGAATTTTCCGTTTGATCATGCCGCATCAAAAATGTCAACACATTCAGGTCGAAGGCAATGTAGCAATTGCATTTGTTTCAATAAGTAATAGAGGCTGAATGAAAATTTGCTGATAGGTTGTGGGCATGGGTGATAGAAAGGGTAATTAGCAATTATATTTATGTGTGGTCTATTTCCCCCATCTCTTAATTTCCTATTTTTAATTAAATGGTTAAGATATAAACATATACCCTTATGAAGTCAATATTTTTATTTTTGCATCAGAATGGGCACTTTTCACCATGCTTAAATTATCTTCCAACATTTCAATAGACTTTAATATAGTACACAAAAAAGAAAAATATATCCTCTATCAATAAACTATGAGTGGGTGAGGAATATACAAGTTTTCAAGTTAGGCATAAATTCTTAACGTTTATAGTGGATTGAACCAGTTTTTATGCTGATAAGATGAACGCAGTAGAAACTGGCAGTATCTCATTGTCTGCTGATTTAAAAAAAATAAGAATTGGAGCCAGTTAATATTTGAATGGGAGACCAAAAGGAAATCTGAAGGGTTCATCCTAGTATTAGAAGTTTAAAAAAATGTGAAAAAGTAGCAGATGACTTGTGTTTGTTGTAAAAAAAAAAACCCCCAACAAGATTGAGGTTAGATCCAGTAAAATCAATGAAACAAATTGATGAAAACAAAATTTAGATCCAACCCCATGTCAGTGAATTGTTAGCACAACCCCCATTCTGAGTGATCACATGATAAACAAGCATAAAGGTGTTCCTTAGACTCTAGTTTTTGAAATGCTGCAATACATAATACAAGTTACAAGAATGTTCAACCAACTTCTTAAAAATCCTTATTGGGCCCTAGATGGATAGATGGTTCTTTGTTATGAACTGGGATCAAACTTGAAGAGTAAAATAATGGCAATATATTCAAAATATGAAAATGTGTATTATGTCTTTATATATGTGTATAACTGAGTTATCATTAGAATATTTAAAAATCTAAATTAAAAGCTATAGCACAAAACAAACTGCATAGTGATAGTTCAATCTTTTTGCAAAAATTTAAAAGGATGCATTCCACCAGTCTGTTTCAGGGTACCTTTAAATAGCTTTGGAAAACAGCAAAATCTATTTTATTCAAAGACTATTTGGTAGCACAAAATACAGACATTTTTATTAATAAAAAATATTCACTTGGTGAATATGATAATGATGATTTTAGTGTCAGCACTTGATGTGCCTTTTTGGAACAGCAATTAAAAATAAGAGACCTCCAGACTGAACAGGGTTTATGTAAACCATCACCATAGAACACAGGAAGGAAATACTGTTAGCCTAATTAATAGAAATACAGGTAGTCCTCAATTTATAGCCATTTGTTTAGCAACTGTTTGAAGTTATAACAGTGCTGGAAAAAGTGACTTATAGCTGGTCCTTGCACTTACAGCCATCACAATGTCCCCACAGTCATGTAATCAAAATTAGGGTACTTGGCAACCAGCATGTATTTACAACAGTTGCAGCATCCTCAGTTTACTTGATCACCATTTGTGATCTTCTCAGCCAGGTTCAAACAAGCCGAGTCAATGAGAGGAAGTCAGATTCACTTAATGACTATGTCAAAAAGGTCATAAAATTGGGCATGATTCATTTAATGATCAGCTCGCTTATCAATGGAAGTTCTAGTCCCAATCTTGCATATAAATGGACTATCTGTACTTTGAACTGGATTATGAACTGGACAATGAACTAAAGGTGTCACAAGAGGAACATAATACAATTATTATAATCAGTTCCAGTCAGTGATCTACTTGCCACATTTTATACTAACCATTTGGAATGATTTTACTCTTAACAGTGCTACCTTTTGGTATTAACTGATTAATTTACTTGGAGAGAAGGAGAGGAAGAAAATAAACTCTACTTAGGAATTCAAACATACATCAGGGTTTTGGGTGTATGTGTGTATTAATCATTAATGGGACAAAAGCATGGTTGATATGTCCAGAAACACATTTGCCATTTTCTGGCATATTCTAAAATTTATCTCTGACAGCAAAAACTAATCCTGGAACTGAGACATGATGCTCCTTTACGTATGCGGTTCATCTCTTGGTATTTGTGGGGAACTGAAAGTTGTTTCCCAATGTCGGATGCGTAGAAAATATCTGCAGTCCTGGCAAATAGTATATTTTACCAAGTGATTAGACTCCTCCCTCCAGTTTTACCCTGCCCCCTCTAGGTATTTTGCTTCCCAACCTTTGCCCGTGGCATTGACCTATGAGCGTGTCCCATCAGGACAAGCTGCAGTTTAAGTCCAAGCTTTCACCCATTATAACAAGTGAATAATCTGCTTCTACCTAATTGGGATCTATGGCTTCCTGCTCATTCCCCTTTGGGGAGAAATACCTAAGAGAGAGAATCAAAGAGGTTACTTTGACCCTTTTATTCCTGACCTGTTTTTGGGGTGAGTAATCCTTTTTTTGTTTATCCTGCAACAAGCTAATAGATGGCTGTTTCCTTTACTTCTGGATCCTTCCTCTGTCGCAGGTGGTATTAGAGCAAGTTCCTTCTCTATCTGCCAATATATATCTATGTATATGTGTGTTTGTATAGTAAACCAATCTAAGCCAGTTATTAAAATAAAGTGATTGTTGAGTATTGGTAATCTCCTGACTCCTCTTGATGCCTGCTAGGAAATGATTGTAATTTAGTGGTGATTCACTGGTCTCATTAGCTATTTTCTAATGAATGGTTTAATGCTTGCTAACCTTTTTACTTTGTTTTTAATCAAAGGAACTTAACCAGAATATAAACTTTCAAGCTAAAACCAGAGCAAGATTGATGATGAGCTATTTGATGGCATATCTACTATCTGATCATTATCAAAGTTCTTAAAAAGGAATGTTTACTAAATAAAGGCCAGCCTAATCCAGTACCTTTTTTCAATGTTCTTTAAAAAAGAGTGTATGCTTAGAAGTGCTTTGCACCAGTTCCTTGTGCCTTAACTAAACCTTATAATGATGATGATGATGATGATAATGTTGATGATAATGATGATGATAATAATGATAATATAAATAGTGATAGTGTTACAGTACTGAAACAATATATTAAATAAGCCCATTCTCAGATTAGGCTATTAAATCTCAGCCTTGGAATAAATACATTCTAAAATGAAAATTGCTTTCAGCATTTGTAAAGTTATTATGGATCAGAAGTATTACAATGTCATAAATCGTGGCTTGTTTTATTTCGCTTTTCTCGTCCACATAGCATTTTTTGTAAACAGAGTTTTATCAGAAATGTGAGAGAATGACAAGCTAGCAAAACTCTCTGTCTCATACTATATTCCCTATGTTGAACTATGCCGCTTCTATGATCTAACAGACAACTATTTTGATGTTTAGATGAATCTTTGTTAGCTTAGGAAACATCATGCTGGCATTCAAATAATGAACATATGCCACTAACTGTGAGAGGGATCTTGGAGTCCAAGTGGACAATCACTTAAATATGAGCAGATAGCAGCAGCCAAAAAAAGCCAATGCAATCCTAGGCTGCATTAATAGACAGATGGAATCAAGATCATGTGAAGTATTGCTACCGCTTTACAAAGCTTTATAATATCACACTTGGAATACTGCATCCAGTTTTGGTCACCACAATATAAAAAAGATGTTGAGACTTGGAAAGAGTGCAGAGAAGAGAACAAGGATGATTAGGGGCTGGAGTCTAAAACATATGAAGAACAGTTGCAGGAATTGGGTATGTTTAATCTTGTGAAAAAAAAGGACTAGGGGAGACATGATAGCAGCACTCCAGAATTTGAAAAGATGAGAGGTCCAAAGTGCCAGAAGCTAAGACAAGAAACAATGGATGGAAACTGATCAAGGAGAGAAGCAACCTAGAACTAAGGCGAAAATTCCAAATGGTGAGAACAATCAACCAGTGCAACGGCTTGCCTTCAGAAGGTGGGTGTTCCATCACTGGAGGCTTTTAGAAGAGACTGGATAGCCATTTCTCTGAAATGTTATAAGGTCTCCTGCTTCAGCAGGGGTGGGGGGTGGGAGTGGGGTTTGGATCTGATGATTGCCGAGGCTCCTTCCAATTCTTTTATTCTATGTTCTATGTTGTCTGAATCTATATCCCCTTTATATTGTCTAAATTTCAGACCAGGAAGAGAAGAGAAGAAACAAAGGCACATGGGCTACATTTCAGCAGCCAGTCAAATGGCAAACGAATAATTGGGGGACTTTGCCATTTGGAAGTTATTTCCCACCTAAGCAAGGAGGAACTGAAATTGAAAGGAGTCATAAATACACAAGATAAAATACCTGAGGTTGTATAAAACCAAATGAAATGTGATGACAGGAAAGGGATATAGGCTTTATTGCATGATAATGGTTGACTGCTCTTGTAATGGAGGCAATGAATGAAGTTTGTTGATTTCCCCCAAATCTGATTTTAAGCTCTCACTGTACTTTTATCTATGTGTAAATAAACAAACATAAACTCCACAAGTTAAATTCAGATCCTGATCCAGGCCAGATTTTAGGAAATAGGACTTTCCAAATATTGTCCCTTACTATTGGCCATGATGTCTAAAGTTTAATATGCTTTTCTCTAATTCCTCAGGTGATGGGAAAGTAATTCAGCAGACTTTCTATTTCATCAGTTGCTGATTCCATTATGTCCCCTGCAATGAGGACAGCAACTGATTTCATGCAGGATAATTGAAAGAAAGTGATTGGTAGATTCCTTTGTGTCAGCTACCATTTTGAAAGAAACAACTGTTCATTGTTCTTCCCAAGAGTGAAGGCAGGTTTTGACACATGGCTATACTTGCTTAGCCGCCATGACTCTCTTCAGTGCTAGAAAGGGGTGGAGTTTGCTCTCTATTTGCCTTCATTGATAGGGCAAGCTACTATATGTAAACAGAGAGCAAATCCTGCTCCCTTTTGGCATTGAAATGTTATCTAGTTGGATAACGTCTGCAAGAAAACAACCAAGCTCAAAAGGCATCAAGGACTCCGTAGCATATATTTATGAGTATCGTTGGGTTTTAATCTTCAATTTCTAGATGCACATACAACTGACATTGCAAGCAATAGTATATAGTGAAGATGGAGCTTCCATACTGCTATTTGAGAAGACTGGGTGATTATAATCAATACCAGGGCATATCCCTGCCTGTTTCAAGAATCTGTGAAACTTCAACAGTTGTGTGGGGAATTCCTTGGACCACCTAGATCCATACATCAGACAAATATTGGCAAGGAACATTTCCTGCTGGCTAAATAAATAAATAAAATAAAAAAGGAAGATAAAGAAAATGTAGACTTTGATCACTGACTACAAGGCTGCCAAATTAGAACAAGCTCACAAACAAAACATATCCAGGCCAAATTATCCAAAGGTTGGACCTGCATGTTTTTATTTTACTTTTTTCAAATAATTTCTAAATAGTAGCTACCAGGAATTGAACCAAAAGTGGGATCATGGCCAAGAGGTCAATTTTGAACTCCAAATTAGCCCTAGCAAAATGCACTTCCCCAATGCTGCTATGGGTATCAATAGTTTCTATTGCTAAGAATATGAAAAGGATTGAAAGTTTAAAGGGAAAAAAAACCTTTTTTACACTCATGATCCTGTCTCTCTTTTCAGGCTGCCAAATAGAATATCTCTTTTTTTTGTTCTTTCTCAGTCTCAGTCTCAGTCTCAGTCACAGTCACAGTCTCAGTCTCTTTCTCTTCTCTTCTCTTCTCTTCTCTTCTCTTCTCTTCTCTTCTCTTCTCTTCTCTTCTCTTCTCTTCTCTTCTCTTCTCTTCTCTTCTCTTCTCATCTGTTATCAGTCTACTCTAAGTCAATTCATTGTAGGATGAAGTTCTTTTCATTGAAGACTGTGGACTGTAATCTGCTACATTAGCCCAGGTTATTAAGAGTGTATAGAAGCAAAGACTTATACTTCCATATTCTTTCATGGGTTTTAGAAAACCTGACCAATGAGGCTTCTTCTCAAAGATGTAAGACAACAGTTCTACTTGACATATGACACAATCTTTTGTCCTCAGACCACTTCTTATTGTAACTTCAATAGTTCTGGTTTTGCTCTTTTCTTTGTCTCAAAACAAGCTTACTGTACTCTACCTTTTACTCTACTGTACTGTATCTTTAATGCTTACATCTTCCAGTTTCTTCTACAGAATTTTCTTTCCTTTCTCCTTTTCTACCAACAGATTGAGTATTTCAGCAAAAGGTGTGCCATTTTTTTCTAACCTAGCACTTTCTAGAGGGTTCTAGACAGAAAAACTTTCTATAAAGATTTTTGAATATGAACATGGGTATAAAAAAATAAAACAAAATATATGAACAGGAAGGACAACATTTTTCTCCTAAGGCATCTCCCTTGCTAATTTCATTACATTGGTGAAATGATCACTCAATGGCTGCACTCAAAACAGGAAGCCTTTGTGTGTGTGTAAGAGAGAGAGAGGGAGAGGGAGAGGGAGAGGGAGGGAGGGAGGGAGGGAGGGAGAGAGAGAGAGAGAGAGAGAGAGAGAGAGAGAGAGAGAGAGAGAGAGAGAGAGAGAGAGAGAGAGAGAGAGAGAGAGAGAGAGAGAGAGAGAGAGAGTATCAACTGAAGATAATTGGCAACTGATCAACAAAAAATTCCGAATTATGAAATCAAGAATATCATATATTTTTTTCCCCTAGTATCACTGCTAAAATAGACCAAATGAGCAAAATGTATTAAATCTTCTTGGATTACCCTAGTTCCTTGCCCCTTCTATTGTTTCTTAAATATTTCTTATATTTATAGCTGTCCTTTTATTCAGTAATTTAAGTTACTGCGTGTCATACTCTTCACTTGCCTACTGTGTTATCATTTCAACAATCTAATATTTTTTCATTTATTCAGTAATTTTGACATCTTAAGGTGAATTGAACTTGGGACTCTTCAGTCTCCAATCCTATCACAAACTCTGACTCCTCACTACATTACATGGGCTTTCAAATCTATTAACGAAGTTTTTGTTCTCATTGTTATTGTATTTGGTTTTGCTTTAAATCAACTTTTGTCTTTGCCACAATGTTTCCATATGTGTTACTTTTAAAATGGTGAATGCAAGACAGCTAAATTAAATCTGGACTCTTTTATGTTTTTAACTATACTGTTACAAAAAAGTATTAAATTATATCAATTTAATACTTTCTAATCAGTTTTCTTTGATTGGTTCATACATTATTCTAAGCATAATAATGTTGGTTTTTCCTCTCTTATCATCCATTTCATGACCCCAGCCATTCCTTGTGGTTTGTAAACCGTGGCCTATGGCCTAACAGAAGGGGAAAAGAACTAGGGTAGTTCAAGAAGAGACCCTATCTTTTATATAAGAACAGAAAAGACTGGTCAATCTAATCTAGTACTCATGCCAGAATTTTTTCAAGTTTTCAATCAGGGAT